TCAAATATACTGTGTATCGAGGGGATGTGCTTAAAGCTTATTACGGATAGTTTAAACCCATAATGTACATATCTCGATGCAATAACTTTCCACTTGAACTTTTTTTAACGTCTTTAAAATCATTTGCATTAATTTTCATTTATGCAAGGGATTGTTGAAAATTGATTTTCACCAATTTTTAAATGCTTATTTTAGTGAAATCGTTAGTTGGTGAATAAGAAATTAACCCAAATTTAAGTCACTTAAATACTTGAAATTGTTGAAAAATTATGTAGAATATTACGATATATTCTAGAACCATTTGGCTAAAAATGTGTGTTTTTCCATATGAAACATCATTACTTTTGGAATTATTATTTCCAATAGGTGTCTCTTCATATATAGAGATTCATTTCAATAGTTGTATCTTTTTGTAGGGTTGTGTCCTTTGAGATACACTTTCCAACTACTATATATAGACCCCACGTGTTTGAAATTTTTATTCATTTAGTTTCATCATTGCATTACCATGTTCAAGCATATTCATTTTCAAAATAATTACAGCATTTATTTTGAGTAGGGTTTCATATAAAAAGAATTCAAAACATAAGTAGGTTCATTAGTCTACGTAATATGAAGTGTTCCTATTGCACGACATGATTATTATATTTTGAGAGACAAATGCCGAAAAATCATTACCACCAATGAAGGGTATTAGTATTTTAAGGAAAAAAAAAGTCAAACTCTTGTCTAGACAGAATTCATATTCGTGCATTTCTCGTTTTTATTTTATATATTAATTTCGGTAAGTCAAAAGGATGTCCAATCTTATGCATGTAAAATGTTTGTTATGGAGTATAATTTTTTTCCCCAACAAATCCTTTATAATTCAATTGTTTGTAATTGTTAACGTCTAAGAAAATCCACACCAAGTGTAGGTTATGAACACCATAATACTATCGTCTAAGCAGATATTTGAGATCAACTGGAAACATGATCTTAGGGAAGGAGCGCATGCCTAAGCAATGGAAGCATGTTAACTAATATAGACTAGAACCAAAAAAAAAAAAAAAGTTCTTTTCCATTGTAGACCCCACACTAGATATTCACTAAGTATCCTTTAGCAGCAAAAGGACCTAACCTAACAGTGATGCAACAAAGAAAAAAAAACGACTAGTTAAAATGAGTTTTCTGAAAAAGTGTCATCAGTTTGGGATCGATTATGTAGATCTCAAAACAAGTAACTAATATTTTGCAACAACTGCTTCGAAGATGCCATCAGATCTGAAATACGGTGAAAACAAACTTGGATCAACTGGCCCCGGAAGACTGAAGTAAAGCGTGAAGGGTCCCGGTGGGCACTGTTGCTGAAATTTCAGTTCAAAAACTCGAGAATATTTTGATACAGTTTTCACACCAGTGGATGTCACGCCTCTGATGCTAACTCTTCCATCCCGTTCAATCTCACAGCCAAACCGACCTGCTAAAAATAAATGACATCAACTTAAGGATAGAATGATTGATAAATATAGGTAACAACTGTGAAAATAGCAATGTGTTTCATTTAGTAAGACTCCAATATTGGCATGACCATGCAAGCCTACCCAAGAGCTTATTGTAAAGTAGGGACCATTTTGAAATGATCAGTGATAGACTTCAATCTAGTTGCAAGAGAAACAATGTCTCTAGAATTTCATTTCTAATCAAATTTAAAGAATTCGAAACGTTTTAAAAATGCTAGACAGGATTTCACTTTTCCTACTTTCGTTTTAAAGAAGGTGGTCTGGTTGGATGCTGGCCGTTGCTGGCATTTCATGGGTTTTTTTCATTTTATTTAATTTATTTTCACGTAAAACTAGCAAACCTCTTCATTTACTAGTTTTTTGGTTTTTTAATTATTTTCAAAATAATATACTTCCGAAATTTCATTTTTACTATATCACTGAACATATATGTTGTAACGTTGGAAAGAGCAATAAAAAAATTTAGGGGAGGCAAATGAACTGGGCGGTTCGTCGGCTCGCGAAAACGGAGCTCATGGGTGGCTCGGGCTAGCAAAAACACGAGCTCGAGCGCAAGCCGAGCGAGCCGGTTGGGGCTCGCACAAAAAACGAGTCTCTCGCGGCGAGCCCGGGAGCGGCTCGTTCCAAATGAGCCCAAGCTTGTGGGCTCGTTTATAAAAGTGACCGAAACGGTCACTTTTTTTAAAAAGTGACCGTTTCGGTCACTTTATCAACGGTTTTGTCAATGACCGTTTCAGTCCCCGAATTAAATTTTTTTTTCTTTTCTTTTGTTTTGACCGTTTTGGTCCTTATATTTTTTTTTTCTTTTCTTCTATAAATAGTGGCATTTAGTCACAAAATTTTCTACAATTCACTCTCAACTCTCTTGTATTGTGTTGATAGTTGTGCAATTTTTATATACAATTTATACAATATCCAATTCTCATTTCTCAGTTCTCACTATATTTATTGAAATTTCATCCAATTTTTATTTCTCATTACATTTATACAATTATTCTTCATTTCTTATACTAGTTATTACTTATTACAATTAAACAAATACATCCACACACATTTGTCGAAAACTTATTCGGTGTGGGAGGAAATGAATCGCCTATGACACTGCAAAGTCAATTTCAGAATCAATTTGAAGGTCTAAATGGCGTACCCCTACCTGAAGATATTTCAGATTTGGATCTTCATCATCATGTAAGCGGCAATCCAAATTATCCAATTAATTTGGATGATGTTGACGTTCCCGAAGCGGAACATGATCAGGAAGAAGATGCTGAATTAAACATTTCTGAAGCGAGGGGAAAGCGAAAGGGGAAAAAAACAAGCAAAATGTTGGGATCACTTTAAGTTGATTTCAACGGGAAAAATCGTCAATGGAGTCCAAGAATCCAAAGCAATATGTAGATACTACCAACAAAGATTGGCGTGGCAAAGAGGAATTGGTACCACTCATCTCAACCGTTATTACAAAGTATGTGCGGCCAAACACGGACTTATTCCAGATTGTCAAACACAATTGCAATTTGACAGTCCAGACGCCGGTGGTTCTGCTGCACCCCTATCCACATGGGTGTATTCGGAGGAGAAAGCTCGAACCGGAATGGTGAGGCTTGTTGCTGGTGCTGAGTTGCCTTTGGTAGTAATTGACAACCAACACTACGTCTCGTATGTGAAAGAATATCTGCAGCCAAGGTACGTTGGGGTAAGTCGAAACACTCTTCGTTCCGATACAATACAATATTTTACTTCAACAAAACAATAATTAATTATGAATTTGCAAAAATATGGGGCTGTCATATCTTTAACTTCATATATATAGGAAGGGATTAATAAAAGAGCATATATAGCTGCAACTGCACATTATATAGACCACTTTGGTGTATGCATAAAAAAATTATTGCTTTAAGAATTATTGAGTTTCCTCACAACGTTAATAATATATTTAATGCTATTATTAGTATTGTTAGAGAATATCATTGTGAAGGTAAAATTCGTTCATTTACTTTCGATAATCCTAGTGTTAATAAAGTAGTTGCTGAAAAATTGCATAGGGTACTACAACCTAATTTTGGTGGCTATTTGTTTCATATTCGTTGTGTATGTCAAATTTTGAATTTAATTGTCCAACATGGTTTAAAATATATAAATGATGAACTTCAAAATATTAGGAACGCATTAATATATATTACAATCTCTCCAAGTAGAAAACAAACATTTGAGGATTATTGTGCCGAAGTAGGAGTGCAAAATGCTAAAACATTTGTTAGCGACGTAGGTCATAGGTGGAACTCTACTTACTTGTTATTAAAGTCATGTGATGGTTTTGAACATTTAATAACTGACTTTTATAACAATAGACATGTTAGAAGTAATGACGAGGGTATGTTGACTGAACGTGATTGGCATTTAGCTTTGAAAGTTAAAAAAAATTGACATCTTTTTATGAAACCACTAAGATTTTATCGGTCGTTTATTATCCCACCAGCTGTATGGTGCTTGAACGTCATTATATAATTGTAAGAACATTTCATAAATACGAAAATGACTCTAATTTTAGTGAAATTATAATTGATATGGAATTAAAATTTCGAAAATATTGGGAAGATTTGCTTATGTTATTTCCTTTAACATGCGTGATAAACCCCCGATATAATTTATCGGGAACTAAATATATAATTGATCAAATTTCAAACGCCTTAACATTTGATACACCTATCACATATAGAAATTTAGAGCAAACATTATGTGAAATGTATGAATTATATGCGAACCGAATGGGTACCAATATTAGTCGGCTACCATCTGCACCTACTCCTTCCACTGAAATTGAAGAAGAAGATGCGGAAATATTTAATTTATTTCAAGGCATTAATTCGTATAGATTTGATTCATCTGCAATGTGTTCATCTACTGCTACTGCCATGTCGTCAACATCTGTATCTCATTCTCATCATACATCTACGGGCTCAAGCCATAATGTATAGCCTACTGAATTAATTGATTATTTCAACCAGAATATGCCAACAGATAAAACAATTTAAAAAAGTTCAGACGAAGTAATTGAATTCTGACGAAGGTATGAACGACGTTGGCCAGTTATATCTGCGATTGCAAAAGATCTGTTGACACTTCCGGTTAGCACTGTTGCTTCGGGGTCTGCTTTTAGTGCAAGTAAAAGAGTTTTGAGCGAGATCATGAGCCAACTGAAAGAAGATATTTTAAAAGTATTAATGTGCGCTAAGAATTGACAGGACGCTCATTTTCGACTATAAGATAAATATGCCGAAATTGCATGTCGTCAAGTAAGTGATATTTGATTTAATTATATTGATGAAACTTTTCGTTTCTCAACGTTACTTTTAATTTTCTTTAAAAAATTGTACACACTACAAAAAATTGTTCGTGTACAATTTTTAACTCCGTCTACTGAAAATTTAAGTAGCCGGTCCCAAACCCGGATAAAAGATGAGGGTTTATATTTTATCTATTTTAAAAAGAAAAATTAAAAAAAATAAAGATTTCGTTTTTATTTTTTTTTTCTCTCTTTTAGTTAAAAAAAATTCTTTCCTTCAATTTAGTTAAATTTTTGTTAGTACTTGGTACTATTACTACTATTATATCTACATTTTAAATTCTTTTCTCGAACTACGCTGTGCGTACCTTTGCATATAATTTTTGAAGTAAATTCCTTCAAAAAATTGAAAGGGTAATGGAATGATTGCCCTTTCAATTGTTAGAAGTCTTTCACTTCGAAAATTATATATAACCTTCGAAGTGAAAGACTTCTGTATAATTTTTGAAGTGAAGATTTCTGACAATTGAAAGAGTATTCGATTACCCTTTCAATTTTTAGAAGGGATTTTCTTCGAAAATTATATGTAAGGGGACGCGCAGCGTTGTTTGAAAAAATAATTTTTAATACTATTTTAAATTTTCTTTAAAAAATTATACACGAACAAACAAACAAACAACATAATTTTTAACTCTACCTACTCTAAATTTAAGTGGCCGGTACCAACCCCAGAAAAAGGAGGAGGGTTTAAATTTTTTACCTAATTTTTTATATATAATTCACGATTTAAAAATTAAAATTACTTTTTTATTTTCCAATTTACCTATTTGTTCCCAAAAAAAAAAAAAAAAAATGAAAAATGACGTCTGCTCGCGAGCCGGACTCAGCTCGACTCGTTTCAAAACGACTAGTGCTTTCAAGCCGGCTCGACCCATTGACAACCCTACGTAAATTTGAAGGAACTCCCCATGAATGAGAAGCATTGGTGTGCTCAAACATCGAGAGGAGTACCCATTACCATTTCCCTCAAGACTTGAGGGGAGAGGCTGGGTAAGAAGGGGTGGCGTGGGCAGAGACTAAGGGTTTAGAAAGAGGAGTCAGCATCTATTGTCCCCTACTAGTTGTCCACCTAGAGATGAGAAGATACTGATAGGATAAAGATAGCTGCAAAGGCTTTGAGGTTAACTGTAAAAGAAAATTGCTACCCCAACCCCTTGACTAAAATCCTTTTCCCTTCTTCTTTTTGGTCCCTCATGGACTGGCCTGTGAGCTGGCAGGCATGTTGGTCCATTTGAGCGGAAAATCATGGCCCACCAGAACCTGCATCTCTGAGCTGCCCAAACGCAGCCCAGCAGTGCCGGCCCCAGGCTTTTACCATCCAGCGCCAGCGCGAACCAACCGTCTACACCACTATGCATACAAAACTTCACTAGATTATAGTCAAAGAACAATAAATCAGAGTAACTGAAAACAATTTACGTTAATTCGCCATAAAACATTAAAGACAGATGAACCAAGAATGAAACAAAGTCTTCCGAACTATTAATTTCATTTTGACAGTTCCAGTACATCCTAAAAAATAAAAAATAAAAAACAATACGCCAATGAAATATAACAATCATAACAGCTGATTAACGAAAAGTTTATAGAGAAAGATCTATTTATTAATTCATTTAAATAAAGCCATGCAATGTAACATGCAGCAAATTAGTTTGGCACTGCTAGATTGACGGGAACCTACACTTAACCTTCCTCATCCTAAAACTCGAAAGTTCGTTAGCCAGATAAATGAATTTTGAGAGAAAAAGATATCTTGTGGTCTTGAACAGAATTTCTGTCACTTGGAATGGTCAATTCTCTCCCAGAAATTTCCATGAGTTGTTCATTCTGTGTAATAATGCAAAAATTTTCTGGTCTCCATGTTGTCAGGTAATTTGCAAACCATTGAATGGCACGTGGAGATATCTATCTAAAGTACTTGGACCGTGCTCAAGGAGAGGCAAGAAAATATGAAGAGGGATTACCAGGATCTTTCTTAACTCCAGGCACAGCAATGCGAAAATAGAATGCAGATTTGCTAACACCGATATCTACAGCTCCTACAGGTGGTCCAGTTCCCCCTTTACAGGCGGTTCCTGTCAAGATGAGTGACGCATTTAAATAATATCTTTCCACATTTGGAATGGGTAGCAGGGGCATCACGTATGGCTTGTCTAAATTGGAAGCACTTGGAAATGCAGAGACTTGCAAAGAATCATTATCGTATCTCTTTTCCTCGTGATCTTCGCATTTACTGGAATCCTTCTCCAAATTATCTGCATTCACTTTAGTTCTACTTCGATCCAGATTCCAGAATAATTCTCTTCATCATCTTCTCAGAATCTAAGGTATCCATCCCTTGATCTACTGTAATTCATAACCAGATTATCTCCACCAAAAGTTTCCCTGTTCCATTTGAAGAATCAAGTTTAGGAACTAGAAAACAAGAACTTTGAAGATAACAAAAGTTAAACGAAGAAGATGGCATTAACTAGAAAAACAATTGAATTAGAATCGGCGGAACTTAAGAGTAGTAAAAAAAAATTTAATTCTGGTATTTACATTGAGTTTTCAGCAGTGACCATTCCATAGCTCATGTAAGCATCCACAACAGTTAAGAGAAAAGGGGAAAAAGTAAAATTTGAACTGCTCCTAGTTTTCATGGCAGCTTCTAAACATCTGCGTCGTAATTTCCCTTTAATATGTTCCTTCCCCTGCATAACTCCTTGAACTTTGTACATGTCAAGCACCATTATAATGTCATTGCATTTGATTTTTTAAGGACAATCTCCCATGAAAGGAACTTTCTTCTGCTTCTTTGAATCACAAGCTGTCAGGCATGATGCCAATGGGAGAAGTATTAGAATGAAAAACTCAAGAGCTAATGATTTTCTAGATCAGAAAGGTGCAATATTCAATTTACTGTTTTCAATATCCATGAAGTTATGCAAGGATTGTCCATTCGAGAGAGAGAGAGTAGCCGGTGAACTGCAAGCAAATCAGCTATTTCCCACAGAGTAAAGTTTGGCATTAATAGTTTTGGAAGCTGAGAACCAAAACATTAGGGGAGGGGAAGATCCATAAGCCCCCTTAGTGCATTCCCAATGAAATCCCTTACTGTAATTAATCAGAAAGATATTCACATATCTGCATTAAATGGTCATGGCTTAACCCCCTGCACAAAATTAAACAATCAACATTTATCACTAATGCTACATAATCTTCCGCGTACTCAAACCCATGGGGGGTCACTTGACCCCCCAACTTTTGAGATCTTCCCTTTTTTTTTTTTCTTTTTTTTTTCTCCTTTTTTTTTTTATAAAATCATGTTTGGTATTGATTGAAATTTAAATTTTAATCTAAATCAAAGTTAATAATTAATTTTAATAACATATTTCCTGGATTCCTGAACTTCTAAAATTTTATCAAAATTTACTAAAAATCAGACTTTAATTCTCACTAAACAGAGACAAAATCACAATAAATTTGAATTTTCTCTCTTTTTTATTGCTCTATCGTATTCTCTCCCTCAAATCTTTTACCAAAATCTTAACTATTCTAATTTTTCAAAATTTGTTTATAATTTCTCTACAATTATCACATCTACAACAAATTTTCACTTTTCAATCAAATTTTCAACTAACTCGAACCTAAATTTGCATTTTCTTATATTCTATTAGTATATATAGAACGTGTATAAACTGATTATATAAAATTTAACTTATATGTAACGAATTGTGTTTATTTGATTGATTATTAGTATTTAATATTGGTTATTTGTTTTTTCTTTCGATTACTTGAATTGATTGTTTGTATCAAATACACAATTTTTTAAAATATAAATATGCATTTTCTTGTGATAAGCAAAATATTAATAAAATTATTGTTCAAAATCAAATAGATGAAAATGATTTGCAAAATATTAATGAAGAAATATTTTTGAAAGGTAAATCTACATTTTTTCAGGTCAAATATGAATCATTCAAAAATAAAAAACAATTTATTTGATTTGTAAAAAGTTTGATTGTGCCACCCTAACTCAATTTATTTGCGTCCGCCCCTGCTCAAACCTTCCCTTCCGATACACAGTTGAACACGACGCGCGAAAACCTCCTAGTGACCTCTAATATATAAGTTTATCCTAACACAACCTGAGTATCCCAGGCAATGTTCCAAGTCCCATTCCTCTTATCAACCAAACGTTTAATAACTACAGCATAAAAAAGGCAGTGATTTTGATCAAACTCCTAAGAAATGGCCAAATTCAAGCAATGAAACTTGATATAAATCATTGTAACGCCAACTTAATATTTCAAGAAGCTCAAACAAATTTGCATTTGTATCCCCAGAATTGTAATCCACTTCCTAACACGTAAACAAATACATAAAGAAATGGAAGACTAGGGACAGAAAATCATTAAAATAGTTAAGCATACTAAAATATAAACCAAATGGGCAAAGATGAATGTACGAATCATAAACAGCAAGAAGAATAAGAAAAAAAATGAATAATCAACATGAGGCAAAATTATGAGGTGGGTAGTACGAGAATTTTACAGATTAACGGTGAAAGGAGAAGGCGTTTGTTGAATGAGTGCAGCGAAAAAACCCACAACTTGCGTCTTCCCTTTTTTCCCTGCAAACGGTGCGACTCTTTCAATGAAATATTTACTTTTATCGCTGTAATAATTTATAAAACTATCTTTTAGTTTGGATTTAATTGTAATGGGATTACAATAAACAAAATATATGAATAATAAATTATAGGCTAATTGGCACAAAACGTCCCTACCTTCCACTTTCTTGACACTGAACGTGCTTTTCATCATTTTTTGACGATTTTACCCTTCATTCAAATAAAACAAAAAGAAAAGAAAGGAAAAAAAACAAAAAACTAATTGCAACCACATTCCCAAATTTTCTAAAAATTGTAAATGGTAACTTGATAATTACCATATTAAATAAATTGAAAAAAAAATAAAAAATTAAGAAAAAAAATTAAAAAAAGATGCAAGGTTTGAGGTAATTTTCCCTCTTTTCAATAGCTACGTTTTACATGGCCTTGTTTGAGCCCCATTTTTATCTCATTAAAATGAAAAAATATGATCGTTATCCATCACATCAAGCCACCATATTTGATTTTTTATCTCTTGTGTGAAATCCATAATGACTATATTTTTCATTCTCATTTTTTCAATAATGTGGCTCAAATAGGGGCATAGTGCTTCAAACATTTAATAGTCAATATTTAGTCAACATTAGAAAATGTATATCGGTAATCATTAAGGGTCCATTTGGTTTGTATTTTAATTTTGAATTTTAGGTTATGAATTCATTTTTAGCTTTTAGTTTTGAGGATCTATTTTAAAATTGTTAAAATCGCGTTTAATTTGTCATTTTGAAAAATTATTTCTCAAAATAGAAAACAAGAAAGCACTTTGATTTGAATTTTTTAAAATTATTGTATTCTAAAATTTTGATTATTCGGCCCCCGTTTGTTTCTAATTTTTTAAAGAATGAGAATGAAAAATATAGTCGTTACAAGCCTCACACAAGAGATAGAAATTCAAATTTAGTGGCTTGATGTGATGGATAACTGTCATATTTTTTATTTTAATGAGAAAAGAATGGGAGCCAAACGGGAACTCGATAAAAATTGAATAATCTTATTTTAATGCATTATCAAGTATTATGTACATTTTAAAGTTTGTGAATATTACAAAATATTTTCTTGTTGCAAAAGGAAAATAAAAACACATAATAAATTGAGTTAAATTTTATGTAAGTAATCTATTTTTATTTTTTATAAGTTTTATTTTTCTAGAAATTTTTATAAATATAATTTTTCAGAATTTTATGTTTTAGCTTTTTAGAATTTTACTTTATTATTTTTTTTTTAAATTTTTTTTTTTGTTTTGGAATTTTTTATGTTATTTTTTTCAAAATTTTTATTTTTTATTTTTTAGGATTTACCAATTTTATTTTTTAATTTATTATATTTGGATTTTATTTTTATAAATTTTAATATTTAATGTGTTAGAACTTTATATCTTCATTTTTTAAATTTTTTATTTTTAAAATTTATTTTCTTTAAACGCTCTTTTTCCATGTTTTGAGTGTTTTTAAATTTTTCACAAAAAACATTCAAAACGTCAAAAAATGTGTTTTGAATTTTATATTAAAAGTTAATATTATTTTCGAAAATGAATTTTCAAAAATATCAAACCAAACACATTTTCAGTATGTTGTAAAACTGAAAATAGTTTGAAAACAACAAAACAAACCCAACCTAATAGTTATGGACTTGTTTAACAAAATCTTTGAAAAGTCAAAATTTGATTATGTGATTAAGAAGCCATTTTTGAACATGTTTAGATAATTTTTTAAAAACATTTTTTCGATTAAAAGAGTTCAAGAAAGTTCTTCTACAAGAAGTAAAAGCCTTATCAAATGGATATTATGTTTGTTTAAACTAACATGACGTACATGAAAAAGGAATTCCTAAGCTGGCATGACTTCGATGGCTTGAAATTCTATTTTTTCTCAATTTTCAATTGTAAACATAGTTATAGACTGCTCATTTTTTTAGCCTATGTTTGATAAGTGTTTATAAAACACTCAAATCAATTTTTTATTTTCACAATTTAGAGCATCGATCTCAATAGCGATCATGTAAACGAACTTAAAAAAATAAAAAATAAAAAATAAAAAATTTTCACCGTTTTCTTGATTTAAATGTTTTTTAATGGAGAGCATGTTTGATACACGAACTAAATTCAACTAATTCACCTTGCTAAATACACCACGACGATTGAGACTTTTCCCGTCCAACATCCTAAGTGAGTCCATTACACCACCCTGACCTCTTTTTCTTTTCCTTATATAGCAATCAAGATATATAAAACATAAAAACGCACAATACATATTTTCTCTACTTTCCGTTATGCATCACCATCCAAATTTAGATGGCCAGATTCTCTCTCTGTGACTTTGTTAACAACAGATAACTTATGAGATGAGTAACTAAAGCCAGTATAATATACAAACAAAAAAAGCACGATTATAACTTGATCAAAGGAGGATAACAGAGAAAATCGAAGACTGAAACTACCACTAATACTACAACAGCCACACCACAAACCAAAGTCCCAAATGATTAAACAATTAACTCTACTCAGGCGCTTCCAAGAATATTAGAGTCGAGGAGGACAGCAGCCCATTGTCCTTATTCCGATGACAGAATAACAAAGTGCATACATTACATGCTAAGTATTGTGCTGAAGAAGATTATTTCCATGGCATGCCTTGAATGTTATTGTTACTGAAAGGTCCTGTCCTCTGATTGAGTGGACTAGCAGGCCCACCAGAGGACTCGCTCAGAGTCCCGTGTGATGGTGAGCTGCTGGCACCAATTGCACCACCCCGGTTGATATTTGGTGGAGCCGATAAAGGATCCATATGGTTCGCAGGTTTTGATCCCTTGCGACCATCTGCTATGAAACTGCCAACAATTACCTGCCAAGTGAGAGAATTTACTTTAGCAATGCGAAAAACATTGATAATGCATTACATAGCATTAAGCAAGAGAATGATCTGTAGGACCCTAGTGTGTTCTGTTCAAATGTTGTGTTCTGGAGATGGAGGAATTTACTATTCTTGTCTTGATTGAAATATTTCAGTAATTGTCTTCATCGAAAAATTCAAGTGCCAATTAAATGCTAGTAGCACAAACAGTTTTTATAAAATATAAAAAAATGATGATGATGATGAAAGCAACTATGATCAAAGCAAATTAATCAACTCAAGACGAGCAAATGATGGGATCTGAC